TGTCAAATGTCGACAGAGGACAGAGGCAATCACAGCCCGGGATTTGAATGGGCTCAATTCTCGGACCATCTTTGTAAAATATCTTCAAGGGAAAGAGGACGAAGGAATTATTCGAAAGAGGCATCTTGAATCTTTTCAATAGTGAGGACGTTTCTTTTGATTAATCTTGATAAAAATAAGAACCTTGACAAAATAAGGAGTGTCTGGTGGAATGACGGTGTCGATGCGGCGCAATTCGACAATCACAGCTGAACCAAAAGAAGGGACGTGAGTTCGTTTGTAGCCAAAAGCGCCCAGCAAATTCGCGACGACGCGCGCATGTGTCGAATATGCGTACAGTTTCTTTTGGCACGAAGTCCAGTCCGCTGAAATTGAGCCACTGAGGCCGACCTTGTTCTTCATGTTACTCGACAAATATGTCGCCAGAACTCCTGCGAAATACACAAGGCTTTACAACACTTCATTAACTGATTAAAGAAGTGCTAACAGTATGAATGATCCATTGTTAAAGAAAATCCTCTAGAATTTTCTGAATGTAAATTCGTATCGATTTCTCCTGTCGTTGACCATTCTGGCATGCAAAACATTTTTGAAAAAGAAAAAAATGTTCTTCAAACTTAATATTGAATAACATTGACCACCCAACATGAGAAGCTCGCCCCAAACAGCTGTGCTTGACGACTATGATCAGCTACTATATCTTTTCATGCAATTCCCCTATTTAAAAAAAAATTAGTTTATTTTCATTTTCACGTTGTCCCTGGCAAGAGAAAAGAATCTCCTTGAAGTACACAAACGTATTGTCTTGAAAAGAAATTAAGGTTTTATTATTTTGCTTCAAAGACGAGCCTTTTTTGAGGCTTGACTTTTTATGTTTCTAACAAGAACCGCTGAAAATTAATGAAGTCTTCAGATCCGCGATTGACACGCGCAGAAACTGATAAGATTTCCTTAACTATTCAACGGAAATATTTAGAAATGTCTTGAAGGTTCAACTACAATACTACATCCTTCGAAGAGCCTGAGTGACTGAAAATTAAATTTTAAAATGAGTCGACGATTGAAACAGCTGTAACGAGGATCTCTGAAGGTAAGATTAAATCATATTTTAAAACAGCAGGAACTAGCATCCGAGGCAACTTTAATGCATACATCTTTAATCCAATGGTGTCAACTCTAAATTTGAATGTAATTCTAAATAATTTACCAGCTCGAAGTCGACGGATGTTCATGCCCATGACCTGCGCGAACATATCGAGCCCGGAAAGTTCGCACAACGGACGCGGGTGGATCGATTTGGCCCAGTCGGGCAAAC